TATATTACATAACTTTTATTTTTGATTTGATTTTTAATTTACATTCACTTTTTGCAAATTACCTTTTAATTTATATTAGTCTTTTAATTCATAATTAGACTGTGACTGAGACAATCTTGACTTCTGAGGACAACTATTTCAGTGTCATTTGTCAGGTAGTGTCTTTTATGCATGATATTTTCTTTATTTTATGCATAAAATAAAGAATCTGGGTGACCGTGTTACTCTGCATTGGACCGAAAGTAACCGTGTCCCACTGGACAAAAGCACCAGATGTTGCACATTTCATTCCCTCTCTTGTTCTCAGTCCATCATTCCCCCAGCCGGCCATCATAACATCTCGAAATGAGCCTCTGCCTGTGCTTCTACGCCTTGCTCGATACCTTGTACTTTCCTTAATTTATGAATCTAACAGAACTCCTCCATTTCATGCATCTTCAGTTGGCTGTACTTTCAGTGTGAGCCTGTTTTTTTGGCTCTGCCAGGACACTCACACACGCTTCAACATGAAGCTCGTACTCCAGGCTTCAGATCTACTGCTGGCCCACAAACACACACTAGAAGAACCACACGCGGCTCTGGCAGACTCAGAAAAAGAGGGAGGCAGATCCATGCGGTCCTGCAATCTGTTGCCTCCGGTTCACAACGTGGCAGAGAGACACCAGTAAAACCATCACCTACAAACCCATCACATCCAGCTATAGCTGCCGTCTACACCTTCCTCACTGGAGCTCTCTTATATGCTGCTTTTCAGTTTCAACTTGATCTCAGACGTTTCTCCTAAAATTCCCTTAGGTCGGGTTAATTGCACCAATAAGGATTAAGCTTATATTTATAGATTAAGTCAAGGTTTATCTAATAATTCTGATGCATCAAACTTTAAACCTTGTTTAAAATAGGTATGTTTACATTTAAACCATAATTTTGATCCTGGTTTTAATTTTGCATTTAAGATTTAAGTTTAAACCTGTTGCTCCATTACTTTAAACTTACATTTCAATCTCATTTAGGGATTAACTTTAAACCTGAAGGTGAGGAGGAACTGATTTTGATGAGAAATGTTGAGATCTCTGACGTTTGATTGCAGACTTCGGTGCCTTGGCAAAACCAAGCACAGTTTGAGATGTTGATGAGAAATCAGCTAAGACACGTTAGATAATTGGAGTCTTATTCACAGAAGAAACATCTGAGAACCACACAAGACAAAACACCCTCTCCATTTAATCTCACTGCTGCCTATGAGAAACTACTGAGAAGTTAAAGAGACATGAGAGCTGGTTATTAAATAAGTACTGGCACATACAACTTCATAAGCAAAACAAATTATTTCTATTTCAAACACGTGGGTGAATTACACAAAAAGACTTTCCAGGTCACAAAATTATCAGAATTATTTAAAAATTATTACATTTTCAAAAAAAGTTGTTTTAGATAATGTGTTATCATGATGATAACAGTTTACCACCAAATTCTTATCACTAAAATATAGTCAGAATTTTCTACATTTTCTTTCTCAATAATAGTGATCCTCAGTAGATTCTCATTATAATAATACAATTTTATTTATGAATTAATTTATTATAATGTATGTTATATTTATGTACTAAAATAGTTACAATAATAAAAAAACATTTTTATTAGTTTACATTTAATGGTAACAATTTTATTTTATTATTATTTAATACATATTTGATGATTTAAAGAATATATATTCTTATATATTATTATTATCTATTATGGTAATGAGAATTTGATTATTTTTGGCATTATGATAATATTGTTATTTTTGACTGAGTGGGGGCTTAATTGTTTAATTCATTGTACATAATATCACAAACAAAATTACTAAAAAATATATGCATCATATATTTATAGTAATTATATGTATAAAATATGTAATTTTTATTTACATATTAAAAATGTAAATATGTTTTTCTCACAGCTTATGAATGTGCTTGTTTGTAGGACTTAATATTTTGGCTAAAATAGTTTGATTACAGAGAAATGTGAATCTAAAATAATATTAATAATTATTATTATAGTTGTTATTATTATTATTATTACTAAATAAAGTTATAAAAATATTAAATAAAAAAACTAAATATTACAAAAAATACTATATTACAATAGTATTTTTATAATATTTTGCGTTTATTTGATATTTTACAGCTTTATTTAATAATAATAATAAAACTAACTATTATTATTATTATTATTATGGTAATGTGAATTAAATTATTTTTGACATTTCAATAATGAGTTATATATGTTATATATGAATAATGAGTGTCACAAACAAAATGTATAATATACAAATAATAAAAATATCAAATTTAAATATAAAATATAAAAAACATTGAATTTGATTGGTGTTGGTGTGAAATACGACACGTTCTCAGGATTTGTGAGATCTGGATTCTCTCTCACACACAAAAGCACATGTGTACATAATATACATCCTGATAATGAATGATGATGATTCGTTCTTTTACCCATTCTAAAGTTGATCCGCACTGCACACAAGCACACAGAGAAGTGAAGGAAAGACACGGGTTACTCACGGTTATAGTGGGAATAGCAGCTACCAGAGAGTACACGAGCACCGGCGGTACGTTACTGCTCTCATCCGGTCCAGGGTAAGGTTTGGAGAACGCCTTGTCGAAGCAGAAGAACCCCTGGATGTGCACGGGAAAGGTGTCCGTGTATTCGAAGTAGTACGCCAGAAGAACAGTGCCTGCCATGATCACCAGCTGAAAATAAAGCATGATCCACGCTTTACAACCAGAGAAGACGACGTTCCGCCACAGCCCGCGCGCGACCGCACACTCCGCCGTCGTGATACTGAGAGCGTTACATGCTGTTCCGCGAGGAAAGCCGCACTGAGCGAGCGACAGGAGAGTGGAAAGCGGGGACAGGTGCGGCGAGAGTCAGCGGGGAGGGAAAGCGTGAATTGGAGCCTGAGCGGACACAAATTGGCTCACCGGCGTGTGTGTGTGTCCGCCTGCACGCAAGTGACATTTGGGATGTGTGTGAAACACAACGCTCATTAGCGACTTTCAAAAGGAGCTCGCCTTCATTCAGTCCTTCTCATTAAACCTTTTAAAAATAAAGACAACACTTTATGACAAAAGAAAACCGCAAATTAACTACTGATTTATAATGAACCCAAAGGGTTTGAGGTACACTGAAATTGTTGAATTTTGAAAAAAATTCACACACAATTACAAAGTAACGGCAAGTAACACATTGAATTATACGTGATATTTTGAAATAGAAAAACTGAAATGGCATTTTCTTGTCAAACATACTCAGATCATCTGTTTTATTTACAACTTTGAAAAAATAAAAAATTTTTTACAGTGTAAAGCCTTGTACACACCGGGACGATTATCGCGCGCGCTTGTCGCCGACGTTTTTCGACACGTCTTTTGTGTTCATACCCAAGCGATTTTCGCAGGCGATGAGACGAGTGAAGCCCCGTTCACACCGCCAGCGACTTTTTCGCTGTTTGTCGCTTGTAGCTGGCAATTGATGTCGCTAGTAGGCGTTCCCACTACTGGTTGCCTAGTTACCCCGTAACACTCCACTGCAGCTGATGAATCACGTGCTCTCCACTGACTTCACTCCCATTGGTTGTCGCTCGCGAAATTCGCTGCTTATTTGCATAAAGTTGAAGAATTCGGACCCTTTGTCGCTGGACTCGCATCACTTGACACGCCCACATTCCGTCGCCAACGGTCACTGTCGCTCGTGTCGCCGGAAGTCACCAGCTCTCCATTGAAAATGAATGGGATTATGTCGCTCTGTCGCTGGCGGTGTGAACAGGGTTTGAACGTGCAAATTCACTCCCTGACATTAGATGGCACTTAATGAAAAAACCAGAGGTGTTTTTAAAAAAAAATATGCTTTTACGCCTCACGTTTTGACCGTCGGTTTTAAAACGCGGTTTTAAAACGCGAATTTAATTATTCGCGCGAGTAGATTACATACAAAGTCAATGCAGAGACGCGAATAGAGGCGAATTCGCGCCAGGCGACACGAATGACGCGAAATGCGCGACGCGTTTGCCGCGAACACGAGATATTCGCCTCAATCGCGTCTTTCGCGCAAGTTTAAAAATTTCAACTTGAGCGGAAAATTCGCCTGACACGTTCTCGCGCAAGCCAATCAGCGAAGAGCTTATAGGCACGTCTGGTTGAATCAGACAATCACGTGATGCGCATATTCGCTTCGCATCTGGTGTGAACACAGCATTAATCATCAGGCGTTAAACATCGGCGATAATCGCGCGCGATATTCGTCCCGGTGTGAACAAGCC